TGGTGATTCCTCTTTGCACCAGTTTGACCCATGGAAAATGTATGGCACAAAAGATGTTAAGTCTTAAATACATGTTGTGTTTCTATCATGATAACATTGAACTTTGAAGTTGGTTGTTAGAAAGTAACACTTCACAGAAAACCTAGTTCTAAGACCTTGACCTGTTCTTAACAGCTTGTTTTTCTCACATTTCCCCTTAGAAACCCATCCATCTTCATGTGAAAATATTGCTCTGAGCAATGGCTTTTTCATAAGTCGAGAAGATCGCTTTTCTCTCAATGAGAAAGTGACCTATCGGTGTCAGAGTGGCTTCACAACTGCAGAAGGACATGGGGAAGGACAGATACAGTGCCAGGCAGAAGGATGGAAGCCAGAGCCAAAGTGCATCAGTAAGTCTATTTCTTTCATTGATATTCCTCTTTTCTCTTAATTCAGAGATTCAGCAATTGATGAAATCTATGTTGTTTATATGCAGTCTGAAAGAGCGCAGCATTGGAAATTTATTGGTTGGTCCCCAAGATGGAAAAATTACAGTGGTGCCTTGCTTAATGAGCGCTTCATTTAACGACAAATTCGCTTAGCAATGACTTTTTCGGAATGATCTTGCGCTCCGTTTAACTATGTTCCCTATGGGTGATTTTCACATAGCAATGTTTGGGACCATGCTTCGCATAGCGATAACAGTTTGGGTCCCCCTGTTTCACTTAACGATGGTTTTGACAGCCTCATGTTGGCTGTTTTTTAAATGTTTAAAAATGTTTAGAATGCTTGAAATCATAAGTGCACTTAATAAACCCTTTGTTAAATTAATTTGACTTTGTTCTGACTCTTTTTAAATTTGTTGTAATTCCCCCCCATTGAGATGCATTGAACAGGTTTCAATGCATTTCAATTGGGGAACCGCGTTTCCCTTAGTGATGTTTCCTATGGCGATTTTCGCTTAAGGACGGTAATTCGTTCCTATTGGAACTGATTATCCGGTTTTCAATGCATTTCAATGGGAAACCGTGTTTCGCTTAGCGATGTTTTCCCATAGCGATGATTTTTTTGGAATCAATTAAAATCGTTAAGCGAGGCACCACTGTACTGACTTTACAAAGAGGACAAAAAACACACATAATTTGGCTACATGGGTGTTTTTGTCCTCTTTGTAATATCAGTATTTTTTTCCATGTTGGAGACCAGACAATAAATTTCCTATCCTCTTTCACTCTTTCACTTTACAAAGTGTACAAAATACTCCTATAATCTGGCTACATGGGGGTGCAGGGCCTGGGCTGATAACAGAGGGTTGAATTCCCTTGTTCCTCCTTGCCTAAGAAACTTCTGCGGGCCAGAAGAAAGGGGAAAACCCCATGGACTTACAAACTAGGTAAGTTTTTCAGCTTGTAAGATCTCAAAAGCGACAAGAGTGGAGGGAAAGAGACAGAATTAAAGTAATAATCAAGTGCCAGGTGGAAGAAACAGCAGTGCCCTTGGCAAAGGAAATAGTGAAACAAACTTAATTCTGCCAGTTACAAAGCTGAGCGAGTTAACCTGGGAAGAAATCTGTGAAGAATGAACTGTAAAACGAAACCTAATCAGACATTAGTTTTCTGGCTTGCTATATACTCTCAACAGTTAATTTCGGTTTGAGCCCCAAATACTGGTGATCTTAATATTAGCGGTCTGAAAGCTTTTTGACTGGGAAAACTAAAGGAAGAAGTTTTTCATCTCCATTTTAGAGCTAACTATTAAAGGTAAATGAGGCAAGAAAGATCAAAACAAAGAGAAAGTGAAATGGCTTGAGTGAAAGGATACTGGACATTTAAAATCTAAGCCAAATGACTATTCATTGGTGCATCTAGCTCATGTGCAGGATATAGCCAAGAGGCGTCAAGAAGAACCTTTAAAATTAGAACCTATGAACATGAAACAGTTGTTGGATGGCATAGGAGGGGTGAATGAAAATGTGATAGCAATGGATCAAAAACTAAAAGGTTTCACCCAAAATTTGGCCAGTATGGATCAGAAATTCCCAAATTTAGATAATAACGTTTCAGGTATCCAGAAGGACTATAAAACATTAAATGACAATGTGGAAAGTTGGCTGAAAACCATAGATGACAAAGTTGAGAGATCGCAAAGTTAAATTAAATGCAACTCAAAAATATTAATGGACCAGGAAATAGCTACTACCCACTGAAATACTCAGTGTTCCCACAGCAAGATGTGTCTAAATGCACCAACATCAGAATCAAGGGCATTAAAGAGATGTGACAAGCAGAGAAAGATCTGTTGTCAAAAACTGTGAACTGATTTTTAAAAAAAGCCCGTAAAATCTTGTGGAATGTCTGTGATCTGGATAGGGTCCATTGTGTGGGTTGGAAATGCTTTAGGGGGCAGCCAAGGCATGGGCTAGTGAAATTTTCAAGTGAAAGAAAGAAAGAAAGAAAGGAATTAGGATACAATGGAAGTAAAGAGGGATTATTAAATTAGAAGTGGGTTATCTATTAGAGTTTTAGCAATTTATACGTATCTGGTAAAAAATGTATAGAGTAGTGGGAGATAATATAGTTTGGTGAGATCCAGAAGACAAGGAGATTTAAGCTGAGAATAGATATGGAGATTTAGCAAATTGTAATCTTTTGATGATATTAGATGAGGCAGTTAGATGAATAAATTCATGCAGTTTTTCTCTGTTTCTCTTTTAAAAGTTTTACATTATTTATTTTTATTTTAACCATATAGGAAGTTAAGTTACCAGCCAGTTTATAATATCCCATTCTTACATATCTCAACATATATATCTAAGCACATCCCGGTTTTGGGCAAGGTGCTTGAGCAGGTTGTGGCTTCTCAACTCCGGGGATTCCTGGATGAGGCAGACCTACGCAACTGGACAGGGGGAGTGTGTCCCTGTTGCTTCTGCTGGATCTCTCAGCAGCTTCGATACCATTGACCATGGTATCCTTCTGGACCATCTCTCTGGAATGGGACTCGCACTGTTTTACAGTGGCTCCAGTCCTTCCTGGAGGAGAGAATTCAGAAGGTGGTCCTGGGGGACTCGTGTTCAAAACACTGGCTGTTGGCTTGTGGTGTCCCTCAGGGTTCTGTTTTAGCTGCAGTGCTATTTAACATCTATATGAAACTGCTGGATGAGGTTGTCCAGAGTTTAGGAGTTTGATGTCACCAGTATGCTGATTACAGCTAACTCTGTCTTTCCTTTCCATCTAAATCCAAGGAATTTGTTTCGGTTCAAAATCAGTGTGTGGTGTCAGTAATGATGAAGGTGAATAAACTGAAACTTAATCCAGACAAAAAAGAGGTGCTCTCGGTTAGTCAAAAACCAAATCATGGAATAGGGTAGCAGCCTGTGCTAGATGGGGTTACACTCCCTCTGAAAACACAGGCGCACAGCTTGGGGTTGTTCCTGAATTCCTTTCTGAGCCTGGATGCCCAGGTTTCAGTGATGGCCAGGAGCGCCTTCGCATAATTGAAACTTGTGCACCAGCTGTGGCCATTTCTTGAAAAGACTGATCTGGCCACGGTAACACATGTCCTAGTTACATCTCGGCTGGATTACTGTAAAATTTGCTATGTGGGGCTTCTTTTGGAAGGTGTTCAGAAACTCCAAAGGGTCCAAAATGCCACAGCCAGATTGTTAACTGGAACTGATTATAGGAAATACATCACTCCCCTGTTACAGCAGCTCCACTGGCTGTTGATCGGTTTCTAAATACAATTCAAAGTGCTGGTTTTAACCTATAAAGCAGTAATCCAAGCTATCTAAAAGGCCACATTTCCCTCTGTGAGCCTGCCCGGGCATTAAGATCAATTAGGGGAGGTCTTTCCCTCAGTCCCACCACTCTGACAGGTGCACTTGGTGGGGATGCAGGAGAGGGCTTCCTCTGTAGCTGCTCCCAGACTCTGGAACTCTTTCCCACGGGAAGCTAGGCTGGGCACTTACACTATTTTTTCTCTTCAGGCAAGGTTTGAGAGGGATTTTAAATGGATTACTGTGCTCTATTGTTTTAAATATATTTTACTATTGATGTTCCCTGCCATTTTAATAGAATAATTGTTTAATTCTTTTTAAATATTTGTAAACTTACCATTTTTAGCTTTTGAATACAGTGGTGCCTCGCATTACAACGTTAATTCATTCCAGCGAAATCACTGGAGAACGAAAATGTCGTAATGCAAAAAGAAAAAACCCATTGAAACACATTAAAACCCATTTAATGCGTTCCAAAGGGCTGTAAACTCACCGTCCAGCGAAGATCCTCCATAGGGCAGCCATTTTTGCTGCCTATGCAGCGAGGAATCCGTCCCAGAAAACAGCGGGGAGCCATTTTATTTACCCAGCGGCCATTTTGAAACCGCCAATCAGCTGTTGGAAAATCGTCATTTTGTGAAGAATTGGTTCCCAAAGCAGGGAACCGATCATCGCAAAGCGAAATTCCCCCATTCAGACCATTGTTTTGCGATCACAGAAGCAATCACAAAAAGATTGTTGTAATGCAGTTTTGTTGTAATGCGGGGCAATCGTAAAGCGAGGCACGACTGTATTATCTTTTGAAACAATACACTATTAAGAATTAAGAATCTAATAGAAACAATAGGGAGAATTAAAGTATATTTAAAACAATTTGAGGAAACAACAGGATTAAAGGTAAGTTGGAATACGTCAGAATGCATATTGCCAAACTATGCTGAAGAGGAGAAAGTGAAGATTTT